GACCGGCTCTATGAGTAACGCGGAATCTTGGGAAATATAAAAAGAAAATAGATTTACTTTGGTCTTTTTTTAACGAATACATTGGCTTTTATACATTCCCTTTGATATGAAAATTTTTAAAAGATAAATAAATTTTAATTAAATAACCCCTTTATTTCTACGATTTAATGAAAATGTTTTCCTATATCAAAATTTTACACTTAAAATAATAGATATGTGGTGATTGAACTGCCTTTAAGCGGTCTTTAAATTGAAATGCACCAATATTTGCAAAGCACTTTCCGACGGCACATTCTGTAACTAAAATACACCTAGTCATTGAAAAAGGGAACATCCAATTATTTTTTGTGACAAAAAAATCCATAAGCAGGTTTAATTTTAATGTAAACATTTCCGTTTTTAAAGCATTTTTACTTAAAACTTCTTTTCATTGTGGCATGTAGCGACCTCTTTTGTTACTTCTTTAAAAGGCGTGCCTTTAGTGTAGATCGTTTTATTTTATATCGCACGTATGCAGGTCCTTTTGCAAAATTGAACAGAATTTCAGCGAATAAAAAAATGCCCCAGTGAGGTGCAATACAGTCTCCGTGTTACGGTTTACTGCGTTCACGCAATTGTTATCAAATAAAAATCATATTAAAAAGTTTTCGTCTTACAAAACATACAAATATGTATAAATGAAAAAATTTAGATATTTGGCACAGATGTCTGAAAGAAATAAAGAGCTACTCATCAATTTTTTCAAATTCCTTGTCGACGATTTCGCGGCCAAAAGCTAGTAATCACATAAATTATACAGTAAGTAAATGATAAAAAGGCTCGTGTTTGAAAAGAAAATAGAGCCAACGAAAATAGTTTTTGTTATTTTATAGAATGTATAGGTTGTGAAAAGAAAGCTATGCCAATGCCAGGTATATTAATGAGTTTCTTTTAAAATGACATGAAAAGGTACATATTTTCAAGGTCAGCGATTTGCGCATAGCTCCACCGGTAATGCAGAAGTCAATAAAGTGCGGTCATTATAACTATCTGATTAATAAATTTTTGCAGTGTACAATGTATTGTAAATACAAAACTAAACGTAAAAAAACTCACTTATTTAATAGGTAATTACAAACAAGTGTGTTGCAAATATTAAATTATGAAATCGTGAGTAAACATTATTTAGGATCTCTTAACCTTTAAAAGAAATAAAAAAATCTCTATTCCTTCCTCATAAATCAATTTCATAAACAGACGTTAAAATACCACCAGGTGCAATAAAATCGTAAATTCGATATAAAAATTAGTGGCGTTTGTCGAGCGTTTTGCTATCATAGTGCGTGGCGTGGGGCCGGCGGCCCAGTGGTGCCGTAACTTCACGCGCGGCCGCCGCCGGTAACGAGCAGCCACATAAAACAAAATGCCAGCGCAGAAGGGATCCTCTAAATTTACTTAAATGCCAAATAAACTGCGAATTGCTTCGCCATTTATGAAAAAGGCTAGTTTCTCTTTGATATTGTAATGTAGGCTCGTTTAAGAAAATGTTACCTTTGATTACAAGAAAATAATTTCAGAAATTCTTCGTGACGTGACTGTAAAGAGAAAATAAATTAACTTTAAAAATGGAGCAAGAAAACTTTATGAAATGTTAAAATGAGCTAATATTTTTGAAATTCACTAATTCTCAAATTTTATAATATTTATTTAACAATATTAAAAGAACATTTTGTTTTCTGTTTTAATTATTCAAATTAAAAACCTCGACAGATCATTTCTGTTTTCGCGTATTGTAGTTAATTTTTAATCTGTATGTAAGCGGCAATTAAGTGAAAATGAACGTATCGTAAATAGGAAACGTTTTACAACGCGCTCCTCGCAAACTTTGTCTGCGATAGCTACGTTGATAAGAAAAAGTTGGATGGATACCGGTAAAATACGAAACAAGTTTTTATGGTAGGTAATAATTATTATTTAGGATATAAAGGTGTAAAATCGAAACTTTTCACTATACCAGTACTAAAACATAACAAAATTTGAGTAGATTTTGTTTTAAATGTCCTCGATAATGTAAAAAATAATATTATATATTGGATTCTGTTTAACCACAATGGGATAGGTTTATTGATTTATATCTATGTATTTATTCAATAACAGACAAAAAGAAGCACAATTATTTTTTAATTCTACACAGATAAGTAAACAACAGATGTTTGGTACATTCTCGTGAATTTTGTTTCGAAATACTTCTCGGTCGCTTGAAAATAATGCATATGGAATGTGTAAATCACTTGTTATACTCGTATAGCATGATATCTGCTGATGGAATTGGGCGCTCAGCGAAATCATAGCCATATGTCACACAGTTGCTGCATTGCTACATTTCTCCGAATCTGACGGCCAGTTCGATTTATGAAATACTATCTGCTACATACCGACATTGTGTTGGCCGAATTGAAGCTGCGTTCCGACTTAATTTGGTTTGATTTTTAATTAACTATGCAGTTTTTTCCGTGTATGGACTTTTATTAATTAGTTTAGATGTTTTCTGTGTTTTGGAATGTATTCTGGTGAAATGTAACCTTCATTAGCCTCTGTCAATCTACTATTGTGAATTACATTGAAAATTCGACGAACAACCGCAGAATGATAAAAATGTTGCTTGTCAATATTAATAAAAAAATATTCTGAAGCGTAATTATAATGATAATTATCTTAACGTTCTTGTAAAAGTTTAATATAACAAGTTTTAAAGTAGACAAGTTTAATTTGTTCGACGATACGTTTCAAAGCTGCGCTAAGCACTCATTCGATTACTAACATTTGGCAGCGGGTTACGTTTGAAATTGCACCCGTACAAGAGTTCCCAGTAATTTCAGCGAAAAAGTACAACATTGAAAGGAAACGTATTAGACGCGTTCCATTTAAAGCAGCACAAATACTTTCCTAATGTTCAGCTTTCATATAAATCTACTAAATTAATTTTAACTTTTCCTATTGATTTGGAACTGATTTAGTAAAGTCTATTTAATTTGAATTAATCTCTTTTTTATGTTTTGCAAATTCTCAGTTCTGATCAATTTTTTTAATAAATTAAGAACACTGTTAATCATTTTTTAAGCACTTATTTCGATATATATATTGTTACCTTACGTTTTTTACACTGTATAATAGTTTTTTCTAGTGTACGCTCGTGACAATGCTTAGTTTTTCTTATGTTATGACTTATGATATTTGCATGGCTTCATACTTACCGTAGGTTAGTTCGTTGCCCCATATAATACAGTTAAATTTTCTATATGTTAATATTATATTTCTAAATAGCTTAATGTAATGAATATTAAAAGGAAAAGTAGAATACTAATATAAATCTTTACTAATCCTATAAAGAGGTAGGATTTGTATTTGTTATGTATTGAAATAACCCAATAATTACTGGACCGATTTCAAAAAATTATTTCATCATTAAAAAGTTACAAAATAGTTATCGATGAGTAACACAGGCTTGCAGTTTTTTTATTATTTTCTTAATCCCATGCGAACGAAGTCGTTAGCAACACTAGTAAGTGATATAAATAACTAATAAACTTCATGAGTACAAGTAATTTTTGGAAATAGTGTACTGAATGTAACCAGTAATATTCAATGAACCTTTAGTTTAAATGTGCTTTCTCCCATTCAATTTTAATTCCGATGTAAAGTGTTACAATTGATCGTATTTGTTACAAATGCATATATAGGTTTTAAAATAAACTGCCTGGGAAATTTATTTACGTGTTCAATACCGTAGCAACTGTTGAACTGTAATGACGCTTATGCTAGTAGGAATTCGAATTAATATTAATGGTTCTTCAAAAGCGGCTTATGGGGTTGCAAGGAAAAGCCTCGCGATTCCTAGAATTAAATTCTGTGGCGCCGGTCGGCTGGGTTGGTACTTACATGGAATCAAATAAATTTTATGCTTCGGCCTCTTACTGGAAACCCCGCACTTATACACTACCGTTTAAAAATTCGCAATGATTAAATTGCAATTTTATAATCTGCATTATTTAAAACGTACGATGCCAAAATACTCGATCTCGAGGTTAACTTGTGCAATTATAATTGGAATTTCTATTCCGGCGTTTTGTCGTCTTTTTATTTCGAAGGGATCTTGAAATTAGTATTCTATGCTTCATTTAGAACTTCAACTGTTAAGGGATTCCTCTACCGGTTTGTGGTTTTTATTTGTACTAAAACGCACTGTTGGCTTCAATTATGAGGTGTATTATGATTAACTGTTAGCAATTTTGACCGTCGACCACGCGTTATTACATTTATAGTGTGTAAAAGTCAGTTATTTACTGATTAAAGTATGTGCATTTACTGTGGTTATGGTTAAAAAATATATTGACATTATTAAATAAAACTTAGTTTTATTGGTAGTTTGATACTAAACAAAAAAAAACTATAAAAGACGATCGTACTTAAAGACACAATTGCACTTGTTAGATAGGAAGTATAAGATTGCAAAGGATATTATCGTAAGGGGTGTTGTATGAATTGTCTTCAAATGAAAGAGAAGGCTTTAGTAAAGGGGAGGTGCCGTAGCGGAGCGGCGAGTCATTTGCGCCAGTTGTCTACGAGCGGTGCTACGAGATGGTCGTGGCTATCGCCGGGAGAACGTAGCCATTAAAACTTTTCACGGAACGTCGTCAAAGTATTACATAGTACTGAAGTTGACCGCCCTCTTAATCACTTCCTCGCGTGTGTCGAATGCAATCCGAAGGAGCGTTTACTTTGTGTTTCACAGCTTAAAAATGTTTTGAACGGTACATTATTGAAGTGGCTCCAAAGTTATTTTATTTTACTGGACTACGTGCAAGGAATTATTCGATATTACTTTCGGTACAAGGAACATATTTGCGACCTTTAAGAATATGTGAATTACTAAAAATATTGAAAACAAAACTGAAACTTTAGATATATTGTTTAAAAATGTTATAAATATTGATTAACTTATGAAAAAGAAAAGTAATAAAATGTTTTTAACTTTAATTTTGTTGGATTGGCTGTTTATTTCGTCAAGCGCGACAACGCTATCACGTAAGTATGAAGCATGAACGTTGGTATCGGTAGTAAATGAGACATTTTTTGTTATATTTAAAAAAAATGTATGTTGGTACATTTGATTTTTTAATACATTTTTGTAGTAAATATAGATTAATATAATTAGTAAATATGGCGAAGTCTGTTGTTAATACTCATTTTCATACTAAGAAATGAGATGAGAAATAATCTGTGTACCAGTATTCAAAATTCTGCGCCAATTCAGATCCATTTCTTAAGCAAATAAAGTACAATCAGCTGCATAAATATGTAAACATTTACAGAACTATAGAAGCTTGTAAAGGCTTTCGGTCTGTCAATAAAAAATATTTTTGATCGGAATCATACGGACATACACAGGCATACATGTTTGGAAACCTAAAGCTTGTACAAACTTTTGTAGCTTTGTTAATGTACACATACAGTTGTCTGTACACTATGCTTTAGTTTTAATTGTCTGTCTGAGAACAGTTTGTGTTGTTTGCTAAATACAGCTAAAATTCAAAGATTTTGTTTTGTTTATTAATGATCATTATAAAGCAAAACCGAGTTTAAAACGTCTATCAATATTATAATACTTGTTGTATAGAACTCCATACTAAAGTTAAGTTTAGTGTTAGATGTCTTTGGAAATTCTTCAGCGATACTGAAGATTTATCCATACGTAATAACTATATTTATAAAGGAATGTAATAATCTATAGATATTTATTGTATGGTTTTTTTTTATCTTTGAACTTTTTTTAGTAGGATGTAAATACGATGTCATTACGATATCGCTGCGGACGTATTCGTTACTGACGATTGTTTAATATAATAATTCAATATTATTATTTTTAATGATTAAAAAAATTAACGTTTTTTAGCACTAACTATTCATACTTATTAGTTGAATGTTATCTTGGCACATATAGTTACATTCGAAGCAAATTAAAACACTCCGTGTTGGCATGGCAAGTAAATGCCATTATGTTAGAAACTGTTATCGCAATTATGTAAAATTAAACTAAAAATACATGGTAAAAAACAACACGTAATTGAAACAGTTCGCCGCGAGTCCCATCTGATTATGAGGCGTGTTCATGTACAATTATGCACTTTGTAACCTTTCGAACGCTTTATAAATCATGGAAGCATGTTGATTTTTATGTCTTACGATTTTATGATTCGATGTCAACTGAGATTTTACAGATACTTTAAATGCCTTTGTACAGACATAATCAAAAATACTTTTGTTTATTTTCTTTATGTATTTTATTATATTTATATTTTATTTATTTAAAGAAGGAAGAAGAAACACTTTTTAAAGTACAAACGATTATTCTGTGAAGAAGTTCTCAGCCACGAGTAAAATAAATGCGAGGGTTATTTCGAGAAGAGCAAAGTTGACTAGTAGTAAAGTTCTCTTTCTTCATTAAATTACAGTTTTTGAATGATATTTTACTCGATCCATACAAGAAACATGAGCCAAAACCATTTTGGCTTTATTTCGAGGGTTTTGGACACACAAGTATGTTTATGTTTATGTGGCTCCATTTCATTGTTATAGCTTACTGGATTTTGCCTGCGACTCCGTCCGCGAGAAAATAAAAAAAAAATAAGAGTCTTATGGGTTCTTCCAGACTATTTTCTACATCTATGCCAAATTTCATCCAGATCCGTTCAGCCGTTTAGGCTACAAACTCAAACAAACAACCATCTATCTAAACTTTCGTATTTATAATATTAGTATGATTAGTATAAAGTATGATGAGTATGATAGCCAGAACATGTCATTGGACATATTTAGAAGAATCATGATGATACAGTAAGTCCTTATTAGTTTTTTTTTTAATTAATAACTATTTTCTTAGTTATAAGCGTATTTCTTGTTAATTGCCATAAACTTGAACGATATAGACACGTAAGTTTAGACGAGCGCGTTAAATGGGGCCGAGTCGACAGATTGTTAGAAGGGAAACTATTAGTGGGCGCATATTAAAATCGTGCCCTACTATATTTGGATTATCGCGGTAAAATTTGACGTGTAGTCAATTAGTGGTGCCGGGGACCGTTGCGGTGAACGTTCGTAATTTGTCAGTGACAACGCCGGAAGTTTCACAAGCCCCCGACTACCGCTTCAACAGTATCAACTATTACAGCGCTCTGCACAAATATTTTTATATTTGTATCGGTTGCTTTTATACTATAATTCATGTTTGTCATGCTACATTAGGTTTAATTTTGAATAGGATTAATTAACACATGACGTATGGTAGTGTGATGCGCTAACTCTTAGGTGAAAGGGTAATAAGATTATGATGATGATAATAGTATACTATAAATTCAATTATGAGTAGATGTGTTACATACAAGTAATCGTCCTAATTAATATGATGGTTAGAAATAACAAATATTTGAACAAATATCTACCAAGCATGGTGTAGTTCGTATGAATGACTTTATTCACTCTTTTGTTTTAATCTTCTGCAAGTTTTGAGTTGTTAAAAATGTCACGACTAACCCCATTGGAACTAAAGCGTTTGTTATTTTATTCTAAATTTGACACATACTCCGTGAGGCTTTGGGCGTTTGCTGCTCTATTAAGAATTAATTCCATTTAGAAGTATTTAAAGATTGAAATTAGCACGACGATTGTCTAAGCTTCCATTTATGAAGCCGAAATCGTTCAGACTAATTTGAGCTCTAAGTGAAAATTTATCGACAATCTGCGAGATTCCTTTCATTCGTTATCCTCAAGGAAATACATTTGACAGCGATTTAAACAAACGGTTCTGTATAAATCAATTTGTATTCGCTTTATCGTTCTTCTAAACAGTTCAATTTATTTACGTTCAGTTTAATGGAAGATAAATTTTATAACGTAATGTTCGACAGTAATTTTTTTTTAAATTAAAACAAATGAAAAATGATTTTCGTAAATCTGGTCTATTGATCTGTCATTGTTTTATTGACCACTGACTTGTTGATTAATCTTGAAAGAGCCTCAAGTTATTATCAATACATAATGAATAAAACCACTATTACTCTAAAGTTCTTAATTTATGTATAGACTTTTAGAATTCGAATTGTTACTCTTACCGCGGTCTTTTTGAGGCAGAATTAATTTTCAGTCATAACATGACTTTACTGCTAAAGTTTTCTCAGTGCTGTTTTGATTTTCAGTTTATTACCCTTATTGTGTAGTTTATTGTGCTCAACTTTCCAAACAATACTATTCCGATAATTAGTTTTCACGAGGCGGCGAGACGAGACCGGCCGCGTCTCCCGAGGCGTGGACGGCGTAACTCTTCGTGTTGCCCAGATAATATGAAGTATCTGTTATTTATTTCGATGTAGTATTAAATTTTACTACTACTTTAGCTGTAGGATTTCGTGAGTGTTGCCACACTAACTTTATTCTACACCGATATAAGTTAAAATTAAAGATTTAATTACTTAACAAATTATTTTTTGATTGGTTAAAGCTGTTTTTCTAAAGCATAACTGCGTTTACAAAATCCACAATGTTTTCTCTTTATGCTATTGGATGTATTTTTTCTATAAATCATGTGCTTCTAAGTCATAAAATATTTTTACTCTTTGGTGGGTATTTAAAGGCAATGGTATTTTTTAGTCGACTTTGTTGTAACTTGCTCAATACAAAGAATGTATTTGACTCTCAAAGTAAAAACGTTTTGAAAGTACTAACGCGTTTATAATTATGGTATTTAGTTTCTTTAATAACATAGAATTCAATATCGTTTATGATACTTTAATGTTTGTTTATTTTTTGTTCTAAATTATTTTTTCTTTGCAGCTGAACCGGGTTTTAGCGCACCCATAGAAAATGTCACAGCGCCGCTGGGAAGAGAAGCTATTATGGCTTGTACAGTACACAATCTTTCATCATATAAGGTTTGTTGTTTTACGTAATTCATACCACGGGTTTACACTGTTGAAATACATGTTGCAAAACATATTGTCATCCCTCTTTACCTCACGTTATGTCACAACGATTTTCTTTCGTAAAATTTCAGGTCCTTTTTGATTTTTTTTTCTTAAAGTATTTATTTTTGTATCTTCATGAATTGTTTCATAACAATTTAATTTAAAATTCCTAACCAGCCCAAGTTATGAGAATCTTAAATATAAAATAATTTTAAAAGTTGGATATCTTATAGCTCTAGAGTCTGGAAAAATTACGTCTTTAAATACCATATGAATAGTCTTATGCCGATGTAGAGAGCGCTTTAAAATTCTCTCAACAGTAACTAAGTTAAAATTTATGCCCAACAGACTTACGGCATTTAAAAAGTATACGTATCTTGTGTTGCTAATTAAGTTTATTTAAACCATTTTCCCATTTTTAAAAGAGGTCAATGACCAAGATAATGCCTCACTTAATAATGACTCTTACTACAGTACACTAGACAATAAAAGTTCCCATATTTTTAAAAGGGTTGTGTCTTTTGTATGACAGTAGCTTTGAATAAATTGTTAAAGCAAGACCAAAAGGGCAGTTATAATTTTCGCGTGATTGTTTTATTAAGAAAAAATATATTAAAAAAAACAATCTATTGAGAAGAGAAATCATACACTAGTCACAAAAAATAAGAGTAAAACTTATCTCCTTTAAATGCTTTCGAACATTTACTTAAATGCTACTCTAGTTAGTTTAGGAAAACTTAGGAAATACAAACACTACGTACGAATTTCTAAAAAAGTTAGTCCTAGTTTACACAAATTTTATGTAGATTATATTTTGTACTGTAGTATTTAATTTTACTTACAATAATAATAATAAATTCATTTATTTAACTTTAAATTTGTTACAAACAATTGACCCAGGGTCCCCGCACTAGGCACAGCCTGTGTCGCGAAGACCTAGCTCATCGGATTAACTAAAATACTATACATCATTACACGGCAAACATATTCAGCTATAATTACAATGTAAAAGAAGTAAATAAGTGAATAAGAAAAAAAAGAGAAAAACATGCAAAATTACGTTTCTATCCATTAATAAACTATTATTAACTACAATAATAATTGTAGTTTTTTGTAGGCAAGTATTAGCGACTTATTGAACAATAAAGGGTCTTTTTAAAAAATCATAAAAACTTAAATCTCCGCTATACATTTCGATATGTCCATTTTACTAAATCATTAACTATTCAACTCGTGTTCCGTTGCCGTTGCATACGTGACTAAAGGTGTAAATAGTGTTCCATGTGGAGCGATTAAACTTGAGTTATAATAGTCATATATCAAGTTTGGATTCTTGATTTTGGATGTCATTTTACAGTTTAATGCACCTATACTAATATTATAAAGCGTAAACACGCACTACTTTTGGCGTAGGATGTCAGCAATCACAGCATATTTTTGAATAATTCATTCTTAAATAAAAATCCCTACATTTACGATACGCTTTAGGCTATATATTTTAACGCTATTAAACTAAGGGGGTAAATAAAGTGGAAAAATCCTCCATTTGCGAAAGGGACCATAAATTACATGCTGCCAACATTAAGGAAGAATAGTTATTATAATAGTGGTATTTTGCATTTGCAATTAAGAATTTGACAAATGTAAACTATAAAATAAAGTTTTTACAATTTCAATCGGATAAAGCCGAACAGAAACAGCTAGTTTATAAAAAACTTTAAAAAAGCTAACATTAATTTATCCATATGTCGATTTATTCATATAATAAAGTACTACATCAAGAAAATATTGTGTTAATCTTTTTAAAATCTTAAGGTAGAACGTAAGAGAAACTTGTTATCTCGTTCAATAAAAGTACTTACTAACTGCTCCTTGCACTTCAGGCTACACTTTCCGTTCGCAAAATCACTTTCAAGCTGTTTTTAAGCGTGTTGTAGTCTCAAGTATGCTTACGATTTATAAGTATGTGCATATAAAATATTTAAAAAACGCTGTAGTTTTGTTGAAAGATTCCTCAATGATTACTGTTGAATAGATGGATTAAAATCTTAATATTTCGGTTGCTATCGAGAATCTTTCAAGCCCCGATTTTTTTTTTGATGTGAATTCATTGCACAGGAACCGCGTAATGCTTTAAAAGTTAAGATTTTTAGAAATATAAGGACACAGCACCTAGCAGGTGATTTACTTTAAATATGCAATTTTCAAAAGGAACTGGTCCACATTGCTTCCAACACGACTGAAAATAAAACACAACTTTAATATTTGAGGAAAAATCTCAAATTCGCAATAAAAAAGTTTTATGTTTATAAAATTAAAGTCAGTATAGTTTAATGCGTTGTTATAATCTATATTGATATTTTGTTAGGTCGCGTGGCTAAGAGTTGACACCCAAACAATCCTCACGATACATACTCATGTGATATCAAGGAGTCGACGAGTTGGTGTAACTCACAGCGACCACCGCACCTGGTTCCTTCACATCAGAGAGCTGCGGGAGACGGACAGAGGATGGTACATGTGCCAGATCAATACTGACCCTATGAAAAGTCAACTTGGCTACTTAGATGTCGTTGGTAAGTAGACTATATACTGCTTTAAGACCGTGTGTGTCAATCCTTAATGGCTTAATGGTAAGTATAAAAGATTATTATAAGATTCGTATGTAGGATTTATCAAGGATTCATCACATACGATACTTCTATACTTTATGTTATAAAGAGGAAAGATTTTTATTTTTGTATGTATTTAACTCAAAAATTACTGGGCTATTTTAAAAATCATTTCATCATTAGGAAGCTACGTTATGGCTTATTAAAATAGTCTATATTATTAAATTTCTCGAGGATAAAGTCGCGAGCAACAGCTAGTATTTGATAGTTTGCAACTAATTGTGTGCACGAAATATGCCTGACTAATTCAAAATTACATTAATATACCTAATAATAACAATGAAAATAATCATTCAGTAAAATATATTTGACCAACTCGATACAGAAGGTTACGAATGATGGTATTAAAATCCATAAAATTAATATACGAATGTAATTCAGTTGAGAGGAATTTGTTTTAAAATAATGTATTTTATGTAGAGAACAGAATCAGACTGCGAACAATGGGTGACCTCATAACTACAAGACAATATTAAAGTTCATGTTTATGAATTAAAAAAAATATACACATATGTTGTTTTAACACATTTGGGTGAGTTTTGGTTTCAAAATTGACGACACGTAGGATAAAATCCCAATCATGTTTTAGGAAACTGTGAAGGATGAAGTTTTTCAAGGAAATATAGAAATCTAATCTTAAAACCGATGTTTTTAGTCAATTAGTAAAATAATGATTCCAATTTAATTTTATATTTTACCACCCTCGTGCAATTAATTTAAATTTGATAATTTAAATTGTTTTCTTTTATTAAAAACTGGCACGTAAAAAAAACCTTGTACAATAAAAGCGTAATCAGCGTAAACCATGCAGTTGTATGTTATGGCCGTATACTGCGCAAAATAGAAACTGCTAAAAACCTTGACTTTGGTTTATTGCGAGATTTACAATGTGGTTTCATATTTTATCCATGGAAGTTTCGACGTGACCTTGCTATAATGGCTTACTATTCATTTTTACAAACTTCAGTCGCGATATCACACAGAATAGTCTGTTGACATGGTATGTCACCTGAAAATCGTGTACACCGGCTCTTTGTAATTTGCCTATACGTTGCACGAATTCATTCAAAACATACACGTCACTTTATGAAAGAATTTTGATGTGCAAATTGCAGATCGTTTTGGCAAGTTACAAGCTAGCGGTTTGTATAATTTAGCAGTGACATATATTTACTTTTTTAGTACCGCCTGATATCTTGGACCGTGGTACGAGTACTGATCAGACGGTGCGTGAGGGAGCATCCGTCAGTCTGACGTGCGCTGCCACGGGCTCGCCGCATCCACAAATAACTTGGCGAAGGGAACATTCGAAAACTATAACAATCGCGGATGGCATACAAGGTAACCGCTATTTAATTACCTGTTTTTTTTTTAATGTAGAGCTCTTTATTTTAACAAACAAAAGAGAGCTTACAAAGCAAACTTTATGCTCTATTGCTTTTTCACATAAAATATACGTTGTAATTAAAATTTCATTGTAAATAGTAAATAAAAATCGCGAATTGGAGTAAATATAGTAACATAAGGTCATTTGAATCTACAGTTTATTAACATTTCTATCTTTAAATCATTATGCAGTTTTTTATGTTATAATTTTTAATCTTTGCTATTTCGCACAACTTTTTCAATGACAAAATACTCATAGAGTATTCATTGTTCACTTTGTCGACTGTACTTATGACGTAAAACATTCATTTGTTTTTTAAACTGTGTTGTTTTCGCGTTTCATTCTGCTTTATTTATTTGCAGTGACGTCATTAGAAGGTCCTGTTTTAAATATAAGTCGAGTAAACAGACAGCATGCGGGTGCATATTTGTGCATAGCCTCTAACGGAGTACCGCCTACGGTTAGCAAGAGAATAATGCTAACGGTTGAATGTAAGTAATAATTTCTTTAGTTTTATATTTCAAACTTAATTTGGTTAAATATTTGTATAAATTTTCTCGTTTATTAGACCCGCCCGTGGTGACAATTAAGAATCAATTAGTGGGCGCCGTATTGGGGTCCGATTTATTGCTGGAATGTGAAACAGAGGCCTACCCCAAGCCCGTTAGTTACTGGAGCAGGGAAAATGGAGAAATAGTACCGATAGGTATGTGTGTTTAATCAATTCTGTCTTCGAATTGAAACTGTATACTGGTGAAATTCCAATTGTGTTTACTTATTCCTATAACTATCGATCGTGGTGATATCTTAAAATAACTTACGTTTCTATAACTGTGCGAATATTAGGAAAATCTGGTTAAGTACCCACTGACACATTCACATTTTACTTTTATGTCTCATAAAAGTTAATTTTGGTCATCCTTTACCAACAATCGACATAATTTTGTAATATTTGTGCCGTACATGAAGGGTTCGAGTATCGCGGCACAACCTACCCCTAGACTACGCATGAACTGGAGGGCATAATAATATAAACAAAGGGGATTATGGAGGATAAAGTGTTACTCCTCAGCTCGAAGCCCGACTCACCGTCTGCAGGTGCCTTGTCACTATCGGTGTCAATCAAGTCAAGTATAGGCGCCACTGATGCTGCTGCAGATGCACACGTGTGACCCGTTATTGCTCCAAACGCGAACCCGTAATTTAAAGCGACCCCGTACGCTAACAAAAATGACATGCCCTTCCGGCACTTCCGATGATCTTTGAACTCGCACTTTAAGTAACAGACCGATTCGCTTGACTGCACACGACTCTCCCGCATACCTCTCCGCAGGCCCCGCGCCCGACCTTACTGGAAAGGGAATCAAATCTACCCACTAGCGCGGGAGAAAAATAATGCACCCGGTTACCGGCATTAACCAAGGCCGCTAAAAAAAAACTATTCGTCCACCGAATGTGGCGAACCCATACAATCTCTATCGAACACTATTAAAACAGCTATCAATATTAGTACTCTCTAATAAAAAGTTAAGATATTTTTGGTTGTGTGCAAAAATTTAATTTTGAAAATTAGTTAGAGTTTTATAGAGATTTTTATAGAATTTAATATACCTTCGTATGTTGTGATATCACGCTTATAGAATTCCTTATGCATGTACGTAAAGCTGATTGATTCAAGCATATCTGCCGCCTGCTCAGCCCGCGTTATGTTGACCTGTCGATTATTAATCAATAGGGTTGTTCGCTTCAATGAGCTCAGATATATTAATCACCAGCATTGGGAATAATATTATAATTATGTAAACATAGCTACTTAACTGAATAGAAGGATGATCAAATCATGTCCATTTCATAAATAGAAACTCGATTCTGAATAAACTATTTGAAATACGTTTAAAATAAATTTAGACTTTAATTTACACTGGGTTTTGAGTGTAGTGACACTTGAAATAAAACATTGTAAGTCATAATGTATTGTTCTATGTTTTAACATAAATGTTTCGCTTGTAAATCTATAGTTTATGACAGTGTCAGTAGTATTGTAACGTGATATTAATTTTAGGTAGGGGCTTGGAACCGCAAAAGATATCGGGCTCGTATCGCTCAGTACTACGGCTTCCTATTCGCAGGATAACAAGCTCGGATTACGGCGCGTACAAATGTGTCTCCAAAAACTCCTTGGGTGACAGCGAGGGAACTATTAAACTATACCGTGAGTTAATAACACATTTGAGAAGTTTTATTTTTGTTAACGTGTTATTGATTTGAAGGACGTAATTCTGTTGACAGTTTATTAAAGTAAAAAACTAACTTTGTTTGATGTTTCACAGCAATGCCACCTCCCGCAATGGAAAATAACGGTATGACTTAAATATATTTCAATACATTATTTTTTCTGATCTATAACTAACTATTTTTTTTGTTAACAGCAGTTCAGAGGCTGAATATAATTGCTGATAAGTCATCAGATAGTACACCATTTGGCACTCAAGGTATGAGTTTGTATATCTGCAACTTAAAAAAATTACAATGAAAGTAGTTGAGGAGTTGAAATGTTACTAAGTATTTGACTTCTCAATGGAATCAATTCTTTGTGCTTATTGTAGAAGAATCCAAACTAAATGTATTATGCGTAACAGTTTTAATTAGTGTAAATCATGAAGACTTTGTATGGATATAGCTGTAGGCTAGTATAGAGTCCGAGTTATAAAATTTTAATAAGATATTCGCAAGTAAATAAGTATTTTGGAACAAAAGAACTCTGTTAATGTTTTCGGCCGGTATTAAAAATGTAGTCTAATTAGTGAAATGTTTTCAGATTTCAGACTACAAGATTACAGCGGAGCGGCTTGGAAGGATTCCTTTAATTTCAGCTTACTGTCCTCTCTAATAATTGTTAACAGCGTTCTTTCTTGGAGGTTTCTTTGAGTAAAATAACTACGCTCAAAAAGCGTTTGCTTAGCCTTATGTACAAGTACATAATTAGATCAATTTTTGTTAAGAAAATTAGAAATATGTAAATAATGAAATTATATAGAAAATTAAATAATCCATACCCAATTGCACAACGGCCTTGTCGGAGTTTCGGCAGCCGCGAGGGATGTACGTGACGCAAGCGGATGGCAGTTCGCGGAATAGACGTCATGTGTAACTCGGGACACGAAACTGGAAACACATTACAATTACTGCGCATTGAACATTTCACTGCAAAATATCTACGATAAAATTCAATGAGAGTGACGTATATTGCGGTTAGCACTGTCAAAGATTACTTAAACATGTCAAGATACGGCCCAACAAACGTCCTCAAGGCTCTAGTGCCATTTTGTTGATCGAACGTCGGCGTTAATAAACTATTGTAGTTTACTTACCATTGGGTCAGATAAACTTGTATTAAATAGCTGAAGGAGAAACGATTATGGCCACAGTATAATGTCTCACGGCTGTCTTAAAAACATGACATGCGTGGCGGCTTTCTGCGTCGTCGCTATAAGATTAAATCTATAGGTTGTTTTTTGACAGTAACTAAGTTACCTAATCATTTTTAATCTGTAACTTCTTCAAATACCCTACAGTGGCAGAGAATAAATTTAGTTATTAACTATGAATTCCTAATAAACATTAGTTGCTTTTAGTAGAATTAGTGTTAATAATAAAGTTGACGGTAGTTTTTAATAGCATAGATTAGAGTATAATATTCAAAACAAACTAAATAATAAATTATAGTAATCAAGAATAAGTTCGAAAACTATTAATGTAGATTATATGTTTTTTTATTAAAATAGAATTGTGTATATTGCAGGCATATCTAAATAAAACATTTCGTTTATTTTGTTGCATAATACGGATGAATTCTGAATGCAAATAAAATATTCAATTTCTTTAAGTACAGTTCGGTGACATCTGAAAACTTTCTTTCTTTTATTTCATGCCATTGTTTTATTGTATACTTAAAAAGAAAAAAAATGTTTCTTAAATATTGTAATATCTATAACATTCTAGAAATTTGTAAAGAAAGTATTATAAAAATAGACTGATCTTCGTAAATAGGCTGTAAATAAGAGCAAAATAGTAAAAAAAATATTAATAGATGATGGATGTAAATTAAAACCGATGGAGAATGGACGATTATTGTGAATAATATAGGTATAAGCTGAGCTTAAATCGCTTTTACATGTTTTATGACGTAATTTAAATACATATCTATTGTACCTACTTATAATAGAAGTAAAATTAACTGTATATTATAAATATGAAAGCTTATAAATGTAGAAACTACAAGATACGCTATACATAAGTTGTAGTTAAATTTTTGTTAGCGAAAAAATATATTTTCATTTTGAATAACATATCAACAATGTCAATTAGGCTTCTTTTGTGAACGACACATCCTTATTTTTGAAATATTTATTTCAAATTAAATAAACACAACTCAAGTACTTGTAGTTTCACGTCGGACTATAGTTATTTCTAGAATCCTAATAACATTTTTCAGTATTTTCTTTAGTTTGCTATTGAATATGTAAATATTTCTTTACCATTGTTTAATTTTTTATGTAATATATATTTTAAATGTTAAGGTTATGTTTTTTCTTATTTATGTATGCGGACCACTAAACGCTATAACAAATAAAGCTAAATTTTGTTGTAATTTTCTTTATAACTCTCCTGAAATAATTTATAAGTCGGCGCGAAACAACATTGTTCTATCAATAAAGAATACAAAATACTGAGGGTCTGTTTTTAAGACCATGAAATACTAGACATAAAGATTTTTCTATTACGTATCGGACAACGAACCCTAATACCCTTTCAAGTCAAAATCTTCGGCTATCTGATATAGATTAAAACGATATACCTGAAATATTTTAGATGAAAATTAAACTTACTTAATAAGCGAAAATTCTCAATTTCATTTATAAAAGACCGTTATCATTTTATACTCAAAAGAACGTAAAGCTATATTTAAATTTAGACTTGGTATTATACAAATAACTTAAAGAATATATTAAATTAACTAAGTAACATTTATAGCAAAAGATTATTTTCAAACAGCACCGTGTTTCTTTCAAAGAAAAGATTAATTTACCAGAAAACGTAAAGATTATTTCCCCACTTTACTGTTGTTCCCCAGTTACCTCAGTGTTCCCCAGGTTTCCGGCAACAATATTTTAAAGGCATATTAAAATAATATGTCACACTAGCGTATTCTGCAAAGCATGTATTATGCAACGTATCAATTCAGTATTCCGCACGTTACCCTGCAACCTGAGCAGTGTACAACGTCCCATAAATGAGTTTTGAGCATTGTTTGCTCTTGCCCTACTCATATTCCCCTCCTGTAGAACACTGAACAAAACAACCAATTATAACGTATTTGCTTACAAATAAAAATGTTCTGTTAAATTTACGGAAACCGACAAAGAAACAGGAGACCACGGATACAATTCAGGTAAGTCTTCGTGTTATAATAATGATCATTTTGGCAGTGAAATTCTAAAATATAGCTGTTAAAATTTATTAGCAATTAAAACATAACAAAAAGCACAGCCTTTGTTACTGAGAAATAAATTATTTTTTTCTAACGGTGAAAGAATCTTTAAAATCGGCCACGTAGCTTTGAGTTATTCCAATATGTTAAAAAATACAAATCTTTCCTCTTTATAATATTAGTATTAGATTTAGTCCATCATTTTTCAAGTATTGACTGGCGAGGCTGTTTTGTTACATTATATCTAACGAGAGGTTTAATGTAGGTTAAACAGCACAGATAATACAAAAAGTTGCTTAAATATTATTTTAGCTGTGCGACCTGGTTCCGAATGTGTGTCGTATCCTTCTCTATGCACGCTGTTTGCATACATTGAGAGCGGTGTGTTTGCTCGAATGCTATTGCTTGACTGTACTCGGTGGTATCTATTCAGGAGATATCACCAAGTTTACGGTTTGTGCATCTTTTTAATGTATTTAAAATGACCAAATAGTGATATTTTTATTAATCCTGATTTTATTTCGTTATTTATATTGTCATTATCGTGTTTTGTTTCCAATAAATGCTACTTAACTACGTCATAGACTCTTTTGTATGACAAAGTAGCAAACGAGCAAGCGACCACTTGAATCCGCCAAAATTGTGAAGCGAACACTGCGCATAGACATCGCAATTGCAGGTGCGTCGCCTATCTATATGGATGGAGGAGGAGACGCAATTAAACAGGATATTTTCCTTTCCTATACGTCTCCTCTACCGTCAATTACATTTTGACGGTAGAGGAAGGTTGGAAAGGGAAAGGGAAAATTGAAGTAATACTGAATTACGGGGATATCAGTGTTTTCTTCACAAAAACAAAACAAAGTAAAAGGTACGTAGGCTCGAGTGGAACATTACGTAAATTTGTTGGTGCGTGTTCCATGCGTTATTCGTGCTGACCTTAGGCGATTTGGTTATTGATCGTGCCACATCGAAAGGTTGAATCTTAGTTTTCCTCTACAAACATTATTTTCATACGTGTAATTTACTAATTAGGTAACGCCCAACAATTAATTAGTTCCTTCAAGAAAACCTTAGTTTCATAATACGTATTTCGAACAGTTTTTTTTAAGCTTAGCCAAGTATACATGTAATTTTGTAGCAATTGCTTAATTTTTTCTAATGGTTGATCGACCATCTTTCCGCAAATTTATCGAGGTACGATAGGTCCAACGTAAAAAATCATATCTCACAAATATGCTTTTTTTCTCTAAACTATTTAAAGAAGTCATTAGCATTACGCTCATGAAACTAAGCCTGGTTATTCCACTTTCATCCATCAAGTTCTTTGTCACCTGATAAGGAACTGTTAGTTTATCGCGAATAATTATGAAAGTAAGCGACTTCCGCTAACGATGAATCGCAGTCCGTTGTAAAATATCTTGTTAACAAGTCTTAAAATAATTTATACAAAAAAAAAAATACGTTAATTACATCTTTAGGTTAGCATTGCAAAAAAGTAAATTTTCACTGTCGCAAAACGTTCTAGTAATATGTTTCTTTGTACTGAAATGTTTTTAAAATATGTACTGTACATTATGTTAATCAAATTGAGGGTTTCCCTATTGTATCCACAGACTAGGCCACTACTATACATAGAATGAGGTAATTTACCTTAGTAAAGCGGATTTGCAACTCAAGAGCTAATTACAACTACCAACAGTAATGAAGAGACCAAATTCCTGACGCGACGTCCCGACAAGTCCTTAAGTACGTAAGTGGTTACTAGACCTGGAATATGAAAACTACGTGACGAAATCTTTATTTTAAAACAACATGCAATCCAAGTTAAAAAACTCGTTTGATGAATGCATTTTTATTTATTTTATAACTGTTTGAACTTGGAATACATTAAAGTGTCAAAAAAGTACAGCACAAACTGTCCGGTGTCCTTGGAACTTTCCAACGTTGCAATGCATAGGAGATAAATAATGAATCATCGATTTTTAGAACTTATTATTTAAATAATTCTTTAGAAGATTAATTAGCTGGTTATACCACAAAAGTGTGACCGTGTTTTATTCTTATTGTAACTAGCTGTTCCCGTGCGACTTCATCCGCATAAAATTATGAAAATTTTATTATTTTGTTTACATGTGTAAAATTATGAATTGCAAATGTCAAAATGACACAACATGATGACAAACCATGACAACCTTTCTTCCTTGATGTTGGCAGCGACTTATAGTCTCTTTCTCACATTAAGGTTTTTATTCAAAATATTTACCCCTAAGCTTAATGGCTTGAAAATATATAGCCTAAAGCGTGTCGTAATTGTAGGGCTTTTTATTAAAAAAAAAATTCAAAAATATGCTGTAATTACTGACATCTTAGGCAACAAAGAAGTGTGTGTTTACGCTTTAGTATAATAGTATAGATATATTTCTTAGAGTAGTTATAGG